TGTCGACCACGTCAAGCATTAGCAACTAATCACTGATGCTAGTTCGATCATTAAGGACAACTGCTCCTGAAACGGTAGCGAATCCGTCACCTCGGAACTCAGTCGATCACAACGACGGAGGTGGAAGCAAACTGAGAAAATGCGATAACAGTAAATAAAGGAGGACGAAGAGAAAGGTGGAGTAACAGGAAGTAGAAGAGGCAGAGATTGATTTTTATTAGGAATGAAAGACCCTTAAAATGCAGCTGGGAAGGGCGGGTGCTCGAATGAGTCAGTTCAAGACTGCGCCATGCATAGTAACCACAATAAAGTTCATTATAGATTATTAGGCGTGCCTTTGATGTCTAATAGTTCAGTAAGTGGTCGAGTGGTCGAAGAATGCCCAATAATTAAGTAAGTGGTCGAAGAATAGTCAGTAGAAGCAGAAATAAAGACTTTTGCTTTCCGGCTACAGAAAAATAAATGGGATCGTTAAGACTACGGTGGGCAAAAATACCATAAACTGAATTCTGGGTGAGTATGTTTTCAATAAAAGCCAGATGAGCTCTCTACGCCCCACGGAAAACACGCCTTTGTGATGAGACATCCTACAGGTGTTAGTGGTTATCCCACTCCCACAAATGTTCCAATGAAAACAGATCGCAGACTATCTGAGAAGTCAGGATGTAGGAAGGCTCTGTAGGAAGCCTGTAGAGGAACCCTACCCTGGTAGGAAAAGGAGGAGGTGGTGTTAGCGAAAAGCTATGTGAAAAAGCGCTGAGCACAATCTTTTCCGTTCAGGAGGAATGAATGGCTTAATCCTAGGTATAATCCCTAATAGTTTCCAGAGCAACCTCATTAACACGTTGGCGACGATGTCGGTCAATGCTGACCGACAGGCAGTCTGTCACATGGGACGATGTCGGTCAATGGTGACCGACAGCTTGAAAGTAAGCAAACTTAGATGGAACCCGCGACTTTTCTATTTCAACGTTTACTTCAGTGTCCTAACTTACTACACTTGTCTGCGAATTATGATCTTTCTAATTCCTGGGAGTTTTATTCTGAATTAGTTATCAGTGGCAGAAACGCGCTGTCAATTGAATCACAACCACAAAGTTCCCACCGTCAGCAAACTGGAAATCTCACTAAAATTGTTCATATCGACCTTTACTAATTAGGTCACCGTCAGTAGAATGTCCATTTCTAGCCTTAGGTTCCCATGATGGTCAAGTAGGCTCAGTCTTACTCATAGGCAGGACAAAAGTACCTATCCAGTCCATCAACTGCCAAATATTTCACAAACAAGTTTTTTGACCTTGAAATGACTCGTTTAAATCTCTTATTCGATCATGAAGAACAAGATAACAGTCAAACAAAAGCTCATTCCGTCAGGTACGCAAAGTTTTTTGCGTCATTCTTGAGTGAAAAATTCGTAGAAGATTTCAGATGTGATCAGGATACCAGTACCATCTAAAGGAAAGCTCATATTAATAATAAAAATGAAGAATGCGTGAAATTGCGCCTTCAGAACCTATTCTAACCTGAGGTTTGAAAATGCCAGGCGATGTCACTGAAATTTCACCCAGCATTCAGTAGTAACAACTTTTCCTTGTTTCTAAACGTGTCTGGAGTACTCTAGTCAAAGGCATTTTGTGCATTTCGAGATTTTACAGAGCTACAAAATAGTTTTGCCCTGTGTTACCGGCGCTTTGCATGCAAAAAACGCCTCGTCCCATGCGCGCGACAAGGAAAAAATCGCTCGTCGTCAACGTGTTAAGGAACCCTTGCGTGTAAGAAGCGCTTATTGCGCCGACCCAGCCGAGGGATGGGAGTAGCCTGCAATATAGTTTGATAGATGATCTTTTTCCTTTTCGTTTTTTTCCTTTTTTGACACAGCTTTCCTAGCCTCCATGACTTTTTTTTAACTCGGCTATCCATAACCTCCATAACTGACAAAAAGCCAGCGGGCAGTGAATTCCGAGATTCCCGAGAGAAGACACGATTCCTAGGTTATGAATCCCGCAGCTCATTTTCTTCTACGGTTTTTTCACGCAAGTGAAGAAATTCGGATCACCCAATAATTCCTGAGATTCCTCAGTCATCGGTGATATCAATTTATCATTTGAGCCGATCGATAATCACGTCTCTTGTGCAAATTTTTCGCAGTAATGTACTCTCGCAACGTCACATTGCATGCGAATGAGCGAACTAAAGGGCGTTCACGAGGTTGCAAAGGTGCGAGAACAACCAGCACCAACTGACGCGGAACTTGCCATTTGAATTTTTCTTATTTCCACTCCGAAGATTTCGACTGCGATGGGGTAATCGTCCCTGAAATCAGCGGAAGAAAATGTCCCCCTTAGTTCATTTTCGTCTCTTTTAAGGATACTGGAAGGAAAACAGGACTGATGAGCGGCCATTAAGAAATCAAAAACTCCCTCATCGTTACTACGACTGTCGTTACGGAAGTCTTGACAAGGTCGAAAAGTAGTAAATAAGCAAAAAATGTGGAGCTAGGGTGCTATGAGGATGCACCTCCCGAAGTTCAGCAGTCTTCTTGCTGTCAGTCTGCCTTCAAGAAAGACCTTTTCTGCCCACTAAGTGCATCTCTAACCAGTAGAAATCAATGATAATCGGGAATCACTAACAGATTGGGCGAATTTTGATCAAAATCGGGCATCTTTGAACACCTATTGGCCTACCCCACGACTTGATTTCCCTTATCTATTGTCCTCAATCACAAGTTCATCAAGGATGGGCTTAATTGCACAAATTACGCGCTTGTTGCTCTACGCCTTATGAGAGAAATCTGCCACCAAAGCACCGAGGAAAAGAATCGAATAATCATAGAAAAAAATTGCGACGGGGGGCCGCTCCGCATCATATTCTGAAGTCTTCCACCAACCCTCGGGGATAATCAGTGGGTTAAACAGCGTCTAGAGACTGCGAATCATTGACAAACAGCCGATGCCTTGGGTACCCAATAGGACCCGCCGCGCGGCGAGAAAGCAGAGACGCAGACGGTCAGCGGACGAGTCGCAGCGCGTATTGTGCGATGTGGACGTACTATGGTACATTCTATTTAACTTGACGCTAATCGCTACAGTACGCGCTGCGACTCGTCCGCCTATAATCTGCGTCCCTGCCTTTTCGCCGCGCGACGGGCCTCCTGTCCGATGCCTTTGCGGCTCAATATGTGTACATTTTAATCAGTGTCACGGTCCAGAACCACATAAATCAGGTCTCAATCACAGACTGCGACTTCACTGAAGAGCAAGTGAAGATGAAAGAAATGCCAGAAAAAAAAAGAAAAAAAGGAAATGCTAGAAATGCAACTGAAATGAATGAATTGTTCAACGATGAATAGCGAGCGCAGCTCAAAAAGTGCTCCACTCCTCAAACCAAGAACGGCTAAGCCAAGACGTATTACCATCAATAAATGTCTGGAACTGGCTGGGAAATTGAGAAAAAGGTCTACCGTAGTCTGTATCTTCCACGGAAAGAGATTAAGCAGGGAATGTTCCTAGGGCGTCCCAGCAAGGCTTAGCGTGGAGGAGGGACGTGGTGCTGACCATTACTGCGAACGCTAACCTGACTCTCTGATTCGTCAGAACCTATTGACGCTGTTAAGAGCGCTTGGCCATCAGCTTTTCTAGCAGGATCGGGCTGAATAGTGGACCATAACGACGCTAAATGAGCCGCAGGGTGACAGAAATCTTGCACAACGATGGTCTCCAGGAAACCGTGTGAGTCGACTGAGGAAATTACACAGCTGCTTCGGGCGGAAACCAATATCGTTAGTCTCTTTGAGGTGGTTGGTGATGACAAATGGTTTCACGTTCTGACGACGCTGACCTACTTTGCTAATCGAGGAACATTTCAGGAATATTTTACCGCTACAATTTCGCGTAGCCGGTACCCCGTGAGACTTGGACTTACGAATCATGGGCAGAGCGGCTTATTTTTCGGTTCCGCAGAAGAGATTAAGGAAAGCTTAAAAGGACTTCAAAAGGATCCTGTGCTCTAAAGGAGAACGTCAATGTAAGACAAGAACCCAAAAGCCGCAAGAATTGGAAAAAAAGAAATTGAGTAGCTATAGTAGCGCAATTGCCCGGTAAGCAAGAGATGCGGGTTCACTTCCAAGCCGGACCAATTTTGCTGTATTTTTGTGAAATGGAATTGGAATCGATTGTAAAGTACCATTGTTTGACCGCAGTCCGCTACGCGAAATTTATCAAAAGAATACTGGACCGTAGGCAAAACGCTAGAGGCGCGATTTTGATTCCTGCCTGGTGCGAAGAGTTTTGCTCATAACCTATTATTCTTGCGATAGTTGTGAGAATATCTCCGAGCTTTCAAAGGTCAGCACCTTGTTAGGGCTTACATTTTGGCTTGTTCCTCTTCTTCAGCGCTTGACATTGCTGAGTTACGTTAAAAGGTTCGGACAAGCAAGTTAGAATGACTTCCGATCATTTCAGGCCGTAAGGAAGGCGAAGAAGCCGAAAAGTGAGCCTGATAGACTGCTCAACCTTCCAAGGCCTGAAGAAAGATTTCTAATGGACTCATCACGCAAAGATTGCAAAAAGGTCGAGCACTAACTATCCTGAAGGAATGTCCGGAAATGCTTCGCTAACGTCTGGGATTTCTTCCGACTCGAAAGTGGGCACAGGAGGCTGCTCAGAAGCTCGACAACTCATGCTCTCAAGTTACTGACTGATCAACTTCCCTTTACTGGAGCTATACTTCTGCTTTTTCTTGGCAAGGAACGGCAAGCAACGGGTTATCAAAAACCCGACCTGTACAGCTGTTGTTCGTCATAGGTGCCAGGCGGCGACATACAATGATGCTAGAGAGATAGTTAAAGCGGAAATAACCCTATGGTAATTGGATATTGATTGCCAAAAGGTATTTGTTCGTGTATATGCGTGTGTAAGAAGGCGTAGGGTGAGGGGTGCGGCATGGCATGTGAGAGCAGTGGTGCTTGTGGGCGGATGGTGAGCCGCCGGAGGCCAAAAACCCTCGTGCTTGCTCATGGCCCAAATGACGTTCAGATCGCGAATTACGACAGCAAACGTCTCGCTACTCGGCGAGACCTGAGATCGGAGCTGAAGGCGCTTTAGTTGCGCAGGTAAGTGGTAGGAGTCCAACTGATACTGAACAAAACGTCTTAGGGAAAGAGAGCGGAAAGAAGAAACAGAAACACCTAATGACAAGGGTTGTTATGGT